TCACTTACAAAGGACGACGAGCGATACCAATCTTCACCCGTCAACGATGACGACGACGCAATGCGCCGATCCATTAACCGCAACGACGACGACAACGCCGATATTCACAGTCAACGCAATTTTGTTTTCTTTGCAAATTTTAATTTTGTATAATTCGTATCATGTAAGTCTTTGATTTGTATCTTCTTTTGTCTAATTTAGTCAAAGATCGAAGTATCACTCTTCAATTTTTACTGATTTAATTGCAATTTAGTCTTACCACTTCTGTTTGATTGGTGAGAAAACGAAATAAATATTGCAATTATACTATATATATATATAAGTGGATAAGAGAACAAGAGGAGAGAGAAGAGAAGAGGATAGAGAGGATAAACAAGTAATTACTCCTTTTTACCAACAGATTAATTTTCAATACCAAATGTGGTTGGACAAAACTAACAATCCAAACATGTAAGGGCCCATCTAACAAACAGGAGTTATGTTCATTTCATCTTTCACAGTGCACTCCGGAACTGTAAAAGAGGGAACAAACGCGGGCTAAAAGCTCTTGTTTCAATCATCAAAACTTATTCTACAAATTTCTTTTAATATTAGGACAATCACTACACACATGCGTCCATCAAAACTATTCAATTTAATTTGGTACATGATTTTCAGAAAATATTTTACCGATCATTACAATTATTAATATTTATGTTAAAAAAGGATTTTTTTTTTTTATTGATAAACTCATTTGAGAGGTGTTCTAACCCAATAAGTTCACCAAGGCAAAATTATAACTTAGTTAATCCCATGTTATTTATATACTCTTTTTCCATGAGGGTCGGTTTTTTTTCTGTCATATTGTTTGTTGGGTATTATACTCTTATGCCTAATTGATATGTTTACAATAGAAAATATGATATACACATTTCCTTTTTGTTGCTACCTTATTTGGTAGTTACCATTATTCGTATTTTTTTTTGATCAGTTTCATTCATTTTGTGGTATTGTTTCATGCGCTAGGCGTTCAAAACACTTATTTGGTAGGTTTAAAAACTCTAGTTTATATATAGGCAGTGAAATAATATTACATTCCTCCATTGTTATGGTGAAACGGATTGTGTCTTCCATTGTCACTTTGTGTTCAAAGTTCTATGTTCCGTCCATTATTACTTTGTGTTCGAAACTTATGTTTCCCAATATTTTAAGTCGAAATTTCTGTTTAGTCTAGTCAATTTTGTTTTGTTGATTGGATTGATAGATATAGTGAAATTGCATAGTATTGTTAATGTAGTGGATAATGATATAGATGATAATGAAGATGAGGGTGTGTGTATTTATTTTTTATTTATTATTTTATTTTTTTAGAGTGCATTGAGGATTTTTCTGGATTTCTTAAAAATTCTATTACTTGCCATTGTTTCTGTTTTTTTTGTCAGTCAGTGTGAATGTTCACATTTCACTTGTTTGAAAGTCTAAAAAATAAGTGTTGAAATATAGATATAGACATAATTATATATTTTACAAGATATGAATGATTAACATATTATTGATTTATTGTATTACTATATTTGTTGTTTGAACAATCATTTTTTTGTTCCATTAAAACAATTGAAATAGTCGCTTGGTTTTTTTTTCTTTCAAATTTGTTTAATTGTTGGTAGTGTTTAATGTTTACATCGGTATGAATTTAGTTTTTCTAGGTTGCTTGGCATTATAATTGTTAATTGTGAATTTCACATTTATTTGGTATGAGTTCTTTTTTTAAAGTATTTTCGAAAACATTAATTGTATTTTGTTTTTTTGTTTTTTTACTATGTTTGTTTCGATTGAAACAATTAGCATTTTTGTTACCATTAAATAATCGAAATAGTTAATTTCACTTTTTTTCAATTTTATTTTTATATTTCCACGTTGCAGTGTGAATGTTTTCACATTTGGTATGAGTTTTTTTTTTTTTTTAAAAAAAAAAAACTAGTTGTATATTAATTATAAATTTGTAAACATTCCATTGTATTTTTGGTATAAGTTTTTTTTTCAAAAGTTGATTATTGTTTGTGTTTTTGGTTTACTATGTTTGTTAATTCGACAATCATTTGTTTACCACTTTGAACATAGAAATAGGTATGTTTTCACCTCTTTTAATTTTGTTTTATATTTTTATTTATAATGTAAATGTTCACATTGGTGTGAGTTATTTTTTTAAGGGGCTAGTTGTATGTTAATTATAAATTTGACAATTCACAATGTATTTTGGTATGAATTTTTATTTTTTCGACGGTTATTGTATGTTGTTATTATTCGTGAAATTCACATTGTCGTTAGTATGTGTTTGTTTTTCAAAAGTTAATTGTATGGTTTATTGTTACTGCGAACATTCACGTTATTCTTGATTTTTCATTTCAAATTTTTTGTTTTCTTGCGTTATTTTTTAAAATTTTAAATTATACAAAGGTTCAAAATTCATTTAATTTGAGATTTTTGCCATAAAATAAGA